AATAAAGTGACACCAAGGATTATGAAGGGCTTTATAGTAGGATAGCTGACTCATTTACAAAGAAAGCATTTTTGGCATTTCAAAAACCTTTCTAAAGACATTATTGCCAAGTTAATTAATTATAACCTGTCGACTAGATTTGCACCTATACTAGAGCAAACATGTGATTAAGCCAATAATGATAACCAATGATCATTAACCACTTCCATATTGTCATATGCATTATAACTGTCCAAGTGTTCCATTAACATTACTACGATGAAGTAACTCAAGTCAAGTGCTCACTATCCAGGGGCGATGGCGATTCGAATCGATTCCTAACCAGCTGGTGATTTATTCCTTACACAAACCTCACTCACCCGCTAAAGTGAGGTATCGGTCACCGAGTCAACTATCTAGGAATCTCGAGTTTGCCAGGAACCACATGTACCCAGGGGCCGACCGACTGCTCTTTGGTCTTTTCTTCGTGCCCCCATGTCCTACCACACCTGCTCCGGCACAGTGCGCTGCGGGCAATCTACTCGGCCCGAATAATCTCCCAGCTTCGCGGTCGAAAGGTACTTTATTCGGCCAGCTAAATGTAAGGCATGCGTTCAACATGACTCGAGGCCCAACAACGGTCGGTCCTTAATCGACACAGACGGAAAGCACTACAGTCCAAAACTCTGTAAGTCTCCGTCCGGTCTCAACTTCATTTAACACTTAGTTATACCATGACTACATAGTTATCCAAGCAGATCCAGGTAACCACCTATAGCTCGTAGGTGACAGGAAATCACCCGACTTCTACCGGTCTAAGCCAGCTAAGCATTGACTCGACTGCGGATACCAGGGTAACAAGGATATAGTATAACAAAGGTAGACAAGGTATAATGCAGCAACGGTTGCAAACAACTCCAGAACGTAATGCATCAATTAAAGTAAAGCATTTAATTAATAATTGCAAATCGGGGAGAAAATGCTCCGGGGCTTGCCTCTCTCGAAGGAGCTCAGGCGGTGATCGGGGAACTCCGGAAGTTCCTCAAAGTCCTCCTCGTTGGCTTCGGGCACTTCCTGCGGCTGCACTTCGAGCTGCTCCTCGGGCTCCTCGGGTATGACGACTGGGTTCTCGGTTTGTGATCCTGTATGATGCAATGTGCGTAAGTGCTTATGCAATCGGTGAATCGGATGAGATGAATACAATGGATATGCTTGAATGCAAGGTAGTTAACATCATCCAAGAACATATACTACAAGCACATGTCATCTTCTGCATTCTCTTCTACTACTAATATGCTAAGTCAACACATCTTATTAAATGTTTCAAAGATACACCAAAGCTTTACTAATTCCTTAATCACACATAAAGCAACACTTGATTAAACCCTAATTAATAATAGGTTTGAATAGTAACATCTAATTTTATTACTTAGAAAAATCTTAGAAAATTACCATAGCACAGTACTACCCTAAGTAGTCTAACATCAGATTTTCATGGTATTTGAATGAGTGGATTAGCCTACACAAAAATAACAAGCTATGGCATGATTATGAACATGAAAATACTTTGTACTATGAAAAGTGTCAAACAACAGAGTTAGTATTTTTTCTATGTTCTACATAGCAATTAATCACTGTACAAAAATTATCACATGCATGTTTTATACAAATTTTGCTCTCTAGCAAAAATAACAAAAATCAGCCATTAAAGGTACTTGAACTACACCTCAAAATTTTTCTACAGCACATGCATGACACATATTTTTCCTAGGAAGTACATTACATAAGAAGATTAACAGACTTGGAAATCATATTTTTCTGAAGCTTATAGGTTTTTCTACACATTTTTCAAGTTATCAGTAATATCAATGATTAAATAAAGTTCTATAGAAAAGTATCTCAAAAATGACATGCAATAATTTTCCCAAGTAGATCTGGTGATAAGGAACCTAGCAAAATTTATTTCAACAGATTTGGAGCAAATTTGAGTATCCAAACATTTTCCAAATCATTTCTCTTTTCAAATAATAAAGAAAACTAAAAACGAAAACCTCCTATTGGTATTGGGTCGGCCCGTGGGAACCAGCTGGCCCACAGCCATACTCGGCCTGCTCAGACCGAGCGAAGGGGAGTGCGGCGGCCTGGCAGGGGCTTCGGCCCACGGCCACTTGGCCCAGCTCGGCCGAAGCGAAGGGGACACGCCCCGCCGGCGCACCGGGCGACACGGCGGCGCGGCAGGCTCGCGTGCGGGCACCTCCCGGCCACCGCAAGGCACGGGGGCGCGCACAAGATGCGCAAGGGCAAGGCGGGCGCGGTGCGCATGGAAGGAGGGAGATAGGAAGGTAGAGCCGGCTGTCCACGCGGGCACGAGCTCGGCCACGGCGGAGCGGAAACGAAAAACCAACCACAACCACCTCTCACCTCGACGACTGCAGCCGAACGCAGGCACAAAAGATGGAGCTTGACGAGGCGGAGCTGTGGACTAGAAGTAGGCGGTGGAGGTGCGGTGGAGCTCGCGCGAGGCAGCGGCGGAGTGGGGGTGCTCTGCTCAGCGGCGCTGTGCCCTGCCGCGGCGAGAGGAGGGGCGAGCACGAGAGAGCGGGAGAGCGGGTGGGAGTGAGTGGAGAGGAGCGCAGCGCGGTTGGCAGAAAAAGGCGCGCGCATGGAGCGGAGTCAGGCCGGCTGTGACGCGCGTCGGGCGTCGCCGGCACATGGCTACCATGCGGCGGGCGTGCTCTGCCGCGGTTGGAACGGCGAGCGGGAACGGGCGCAGCGCAGCGCTGGGCAGGCCAGACGCGCGCGGGGCTGGGCTGGTGCGGGCGCGGCGGTTCGCTGGGCCGGCTTCGGCCGTGGGCCGAGAAACAAGGCGGTTGCCCGTGAAAGGAGAAAAGCCTTTTTCAAATGATATTTTCAAGAAATTTTCAAATACTAGCTTTCAAATATCATTTTGAGCAAGAAAATGACATCTTTTGAAAATGTACCAAAAATGAAAGTTGCTTAGAATTTAATCCTCTACATCTTTTCTTTTATGGCCAAAGTCCAATTCTATCTAGATTTTGAATTATAAAAATTAAAGTCAATTTTAACTCAAAAACCCTAATTTTTGGAGAATTATTTTTAAAGCAGAATTTGGCAATAATTGCAATACAAACTTTGCTTCAAAAATTACGCTAAATAATTCTAGATGATTTACAATCATAACTAAACAAGTTCTACTAACCTAGCAAGCATGATTAGGGCCAAAAACAACCGTAAACAAGTGTATGCAACATTTACGTTTCACAAGCATGTTTCGTATGTTTCGAAGCAGGGTTTCAATTATTATTTACATGATTAGGCATGTATGATTAGGATGCCTGATGATGCATGATATGCATGATTTGCAGTGCCTAAATGTTGGCATAACATCGGGGTGTTACACCCTATCTCCATGCACCTGAACCGTCTCATTGGCGTAGACTCTATATAGCTATCATCAACTATATTTCATTGGCTTAAAGCCATTTTTATCTCATTCTTCTCTTCCTTTTTCCCACTCTTATCCTATCCCACCTTTGTGCAATTTCTGGCAATGCCAAATCAAGATACACTTTAGTTTTTTTTAGCCTCGTTAACTACTATCCTTATTGTTCAATTCCTTAGCCCTCCTGTAAATTTAAATTTAGATCATCATGTACCTTCTCTTGTGCCCTCTTATGAGCTTCTCACACTTGCCCATATGGGGACAATGGATCAATTTCAAAAATCGATGTACTTTTCATGTTTTTGTCATACACTCTTCATGTCTATGTATAAGATAGAGTGAAAAGAGATGACATTTTTAACTTTATTTATAGTAAACCACAAACTTTTTGTTTAGGTGTATTTTTCCAACATATGGAAATCCAACTACTATTTTTGGATAAATTTTAACTATTAACTTTTCATAATTTAATTAAAAAAAAATCTTTGAAATTGTGATTTTCGTGGACTCTTTATTTAGGCATTGTTATTTCCAACTTGTGGAAATTAAATTTCTATTTTACCTTAATTAATTGTTTTATAATTTAGTATTACTGATTGTTGGATATGAGATATTTAGTTTAATCTAAGCTATATATTTAGTTTGTATGGACATCTCCATTTTATTCTTCATGTTAGTATTTGAGCAAAGTTTTAGTTTCTCCACGGGGTGGCATTCTCTATTTCTGAGATTATTCAATCATGACAATAAATGTTGTTATGTCCAAACATAATGGTAATAAAGAGTTCAATGCAATTTAAATTAGACGCGCAGTTAAGCATTCAACCGTGGAGGATAGTTATTGAGACTAGCAAGCTCCTTGATCCGTTGGTTCACTGGTTTGACCCATTGGACCACTGGTTTGGCGCTTCAATATTTGTAATGATAATACTAGTTTTCCCTCAAAAACTAGTCCAATATAAACACAATATAACAGTGACAATCTTTTTCCTAAACACATGCTTCAATGCACGTTCGCCATCTCTACTATCTCTGATTATAGAAGAGTGCCATTTTAGTCAGGCAGGTTTCAACAAACTCTGACACCACGACGGCCGGGCTATATGCGGATTCCAATGCTTACCAGAGAGTGCCATTTTAACATGCAGCTGAGGATGCATTATTTTAGTGGCTAGCTTACAAGAGCACTGATCGAATACAACGGCTGCAGACAAAAGAAAAAGCACTGCACGCGCGCACCCTCTAAAAACGTCTAGCAGTTGTATAGTTACAGGATGACTCTAAACTGTACTCCTATAGCAGAGTCAGACAAGTAATCTCGCTCTCAGGCTTGTGGATCCGTCTGACGACTAGAGAGGCCTCTCTATGAGTTGCCATCTTCTTGGAACCACGATGGTACCTTTGGGACGGACAACTCTTTGTGGCCATGTAGCATCTCAACAACATCCGCCATGGTGGGGCGATCTTCCCGATCACGCTGAGTGCACAGGAGGCCTACCATCACGCACCTCTTCATCTGCGTCAGCTGAGACTCCTCCTCAAACAATGACGGGTCAAACTACTCCTCAATTCGTCCAGCTTCCCAGGCCTTCCATGCCTGATAAATCAGATGTATATAAGCATTATTATATATCCCTAGATGATGACTAGCTTAACTGGTATATATATAGTATTCAGGAACGACTAATGGAAACAACAATAACAACATGAGCTTGTTTATCCAAACAGGAGGGCTAATAGACACGCTAATTTATTACACGTCTTTAACTAGTTATTAGCCAATTGCGTAGCCAACCATAACTAACTTGGGCAAATTTTTAACTCCAACTAGTAACTAGCCATATGTATCCAAACATGCCCTATATATAGCTGTCGCGTCCGTGAAGATACATGCCTGCCTACTTCAAAATACTTACCCAACAACCAATATATCTGTTCTGTCGTAGTTCAGCGGTACGTGAATCCCGCGGACACCTCCGGATGCTGCCAACAGTCACAAGAAGGGTGATGCCAAAAGCGCGAATACGTCGTTCTTCACTGACAAGATACCCTCTTCTATATATTCTGGAGGTATAGATCCCCTGAATGATTATTAATAACAATAATACATCATGAAAGGAGAACAAAGGAAAAGAAATATATTAAAAAAAATCATGCATGTCATTATGTACGCACTCGTGGAAGCATGTGTGATTGTGTGGGGAATGATGTCTAACAATGTGCCTCCAATATTGTCGTAGTCAATAATCTCGTCGACATCATCCATCGCATTAGATATACTAAAATCAGTAATGATAGGATTCATATCAGAATCTACTAGGATGTTGTCTGCAATACTGGAAACTCGCATTTTCTGTGTGTGCGAAAACACACAGAAAAATGCGAATACCGTCAGAAAAATATTTTTCTGACGGTGTACCCTCAGAAAAATACACACGGAAATATAATGATAGAAAAATTCAATTGTTCTGTGTGTTCGCCGTCAGAAACAATTTTTCTGTCGGTCTTTCACGCACAGAAAATTTGTGTTTGGCCAGATTAAAAATAAAATTTCTGTGAGGATATCTACACAGAAAAAAAGAAATAAACACACAGAAAATACGTGTATTTTTCCGTCAGTCTAGGTGAACTCACAGAAAAATTCCTTTCGCCCAGATTAAAAGTAATTTTCTGTGTAGCCATCCTCATAGGAAAAAGAGTTAAACGCACAGAAAAATAATTTATTTTGAAACCGTAGCAACAACATATTAAAATATATATTGTCCATACAGTAATTTCATGACACATCACAACATAATAAATACATTCATAGGTGTTTAAATGTTCAGCACATTCATAGTTTAACAAACACAACAAAGGATCACTTGCCAAAGATTACATGCATCTGCCAATTCGAAAGCTTACAACCTTACACAGACCCTATCTAACCATCAGTCAGTAAGGTCATGGAACCAGGAACAAACAAGTTATATACCATATTTCCATTAGATATTGATCTATTTGACCTGCTATGCTGTAGTCGCCTTGATTCCTCTTTATGTTCGAAATCATCATCCTCATCATCAAAATCTTTATATGGAGTCATTATGTATGACTACAAAAGTTCAACAAACCACAGAGCAGAGAATTCGCAATTAGAACCTTTGCTGACACTGAAGTGAAATAACACTACCAAATAAATCAAAGTAGCCCAATTGGAGAATCTCCATCATTTTCCCCATCAAAAAATAATATGCCGTCTTTGTATCCCAGCACTTTCTAAGACTTAAGATCTCGCAAGGTTCTTTCTAAGATAAAGCTAAGTGAAGACTAGAACATACCTCCTCAATACTGTTTGGGATATTTTCCTGACAATGAGATCCAAAAATTGCAGGCCTCTCATCGGTTATCACAACCATTTCATTGTGACTGTTAGTGGCCTTTCCTCCAAGGCCTGTCATTTCATCAACTTTTACTGGGACTTTCACTGCTTCAGCCAAATTCTTCTGCCGCTCCTTATTATCCTGCAACGACTTAAATGCTTAGTAACAAATATTTATCATATTAAGGAACACTTGGTTGACATAAACAATATAGCTTCTACTCACATGAGCTTCTGGATGAGCTTCTTTGTCATTGTTGGCATGCTTTCTTTCCATAGGTCGCGTCTGTTATTTTCGAGCTTCTTCAATGCATTTCTTTTTTTCTCTCCTTTTCCCTCCTTTCCTCCTCATCCCTCTGCCTCTTCCTTGTTGCCACATCAGCACCTCTTTTCTTCTTCTGTTCCTCTTCCTGTTTTTTCTTCAGCTGCCTCAAGTGCCTTCACTCTGACATATTTTTTCACTACAAGACAGAAACCCCATTTGTAGAGGCCTTCTGTGAGCACCACTCAACAAATATTTCTAACTCAAGGATCAGTTGCCTACTAGATTCAGCATAATTTACTTATACTAATACTCCCTCTATCCCAAAATATAGGGTGTATTATGTTTGGAGAAAGTAGACCATACTACACTTGGACCATTAATCTCTCATAGAGTATATTACCAATTGATACAAAATCAATATCGGTATTAATGATATTCCAAGTTGGAATCTAGTGGTGCAACTCTTGTAGACTAAACATGTTTAAATTTTGAGTAATTATTGGTCAAAACTTGTGAACATTGATTCCACCAATTCCTAAATGACCTTTGTATGTTCGAGATGAAATAGTGGAAGTAACAAATGAGACTTACCACATGCAGGTTGCACCTTTGGCTTTACAAGAGGTATCACTTGCCAAAGATTACATGCATCTGCCAACTACAGCAACATTTGGTACAGCTGCACATCCTTTCCAAACTTGGAAAAGAATTCCATGAATTCATCTGTCAATTCAAATTATGTCACCAAATTCAATTTACTATGCAGGACAAAAAAACACATTTGCTACTAATATTGAAATTGAGAAATAGCAAGGTAGAACCCACTTCATCAGGTACATTGGGATTAGCACCGTTTCTCAATAAACACTGGATGCAGCGATCTAAGCCTTTATAAGCAGCTAGCGCTACTGGAAGTACAAAACAACCAGTCCCATTCTCAATGACCCATCATCTCTTTTTTTACCGTACCACTGAATATAAAACTAAGCCTAAACAAAATAAAACTAAAGATGCATTCGACAGAACTCGTCAATGGTAAGAGCCTAAAGCAGTGTCCATAGCATACAAGCTTCTTAGTTCTTACACATACTCAAGTTTTCATAATACAAATGCTACCCATAATTACTTCTAGCCTTCACAAAGCAGTACAACTGCAAGAGACAGGAAGAACTTACAAATCTACAAGTGCAAAAGAAATGTGGCAGGCAGTGACCATCTCCAAAAATTTCACATTTGAAAGTATATAATTACCAAAATTTCACAGAAGAAATACCACAAGATAGTGACCGTCTCCAGAAATTTCACATTTGAAAGTATTACCTAAGTTTCACAGTCCAAGGTAACAAATATATGATTTGCGTGCAAAAAAGTCATGTTCTTCTACAAATAGCAATGCAAAAATCACAGAGCTCTATTGAACTGAGCTAATAGAAAAGAAACTATTGGTCATTCCAGATCCATTATAGAGCAGTATGTCAAAAGCACAAGAACTACATATATTTCACCTAGAGCAAAAGAACTCGAGAAATGGATCCAAGTTGGAATCTAGTGGTGCAACTCTTGTAGACTAAACATGTTCAAATTTTGAGTAATTATTGGTCAAAACTTGTGAATATTGATTCCACCAATTCCTAGTACGCACTGTATGTTCGAGATGAAATAGTGGAAGTAACAAATGAGACTTACCACATGCAGGTTGCACCTTTGGCTTTACAAGAGGTATCACTTGCCAAAGATTACATGCATCTGCCAACTACAGCAACATTTGGTACAGCTGCACATCCTTTCCAAACTTGGAAAAGAATTCCATGAATTCATCTGTCAATTCAAATTATGTCACCAAATTCAATTTACTATGCAGGACAAAAAAACACATTTGCTACTAATATTGAAATTGAGAAATAGCAAGGTAGAACTCACTTCATCAGGTACATTGGGATTAGCACCGTTTCTCAACAAACACTGGATGCAACGATCTAAGCCTTTATAACCAGCTAGCGCTACTAGAGGTACAGAACAACCAGTCCCATTCACAATGACCCATCATCTCTTTTTTTACTGTACCACTAAATATAAAACTAAGCCTAAACAAAATAAAACTAAAGATGCATTCGACAGAACTTGGCAATGGTAAGAGCCTAAAGCAGTGGCCATAGCATACAAGCTTCTTAGTTCTTACACATACTCAAGTTTTCATAATACAAATGCTACCCATAATTACTTCTAGCCTTCACAAAGCAGTACAACTGCAAGAGACAGGAAGAACTTACAAATCTACAAGTGCAAAAGAAATGTGGCAGGCACTGACCATCTCCAAAAATTTCACATTTGAAAGTATATAATTACCAAAATTTCACAGAAGAAATACCACAAGATAGTGACCATCTCCAGAAATTTCACATTCGAAAGTATTACCGAAGTTTCACAGTCCAAGGCAACAAATATATGATTTGCGTGCAAAAAAAGTCATGTTCTTCTACAAATAGCAATGCAAAAATCACAGAGCTCTATTGAACTGAGCTAATAGAAAAGAAACTATTGGTCATTCCAGATCCATTATAGAGCAGTATGTCAAAAGCACAAGAACTACATATATTTCACCTAGAGCAAAAGAACTCGAGAAATGGCTCAGATTTACCCATTATCAGCATAACAACTACAACTTAATTTCACCTGGAGTTTAATTTAATTCTCTCTCTCTATTGGGAATTGAACTAGCCACAGAACTGGTTGCTTGTACTGGTACAAGCCATCCTGGTTAAGCAGCAAACAGAACAAAATATCCCAAGTACCAGCTCATAAGGTGCTAAAGTGCAGAAGTTCTCTAATGGAAACTTGATTCATCACAGCCACTCAAGAGTAGTACAAAACAAAAAAAGTCAGAAGGCATAGTTAGGGAATGGGAGAGCAGCGCGGCATGAGACTGGGGTTCCATATCATCTCAGCTCCGCAAATATCACATATCAAAATGATTGATCAGGTTGATATATGCAAGATATTCAAGATACTGATTTCATAGCATCTCACCTGAAAAGCAACCAGGGTAACAAAACAAACAAGTTAAAATTGTATTTTAACTTTGCAGTAAAATCTTCTTATTACATTGCTCCCTCAAATTCGAATATAATGACATTATTTGAGCTTTTAATCTTGCCTATTTCCAGTTGGCGGTTGGAGATTTAGTTTTTCTCTCTCGTTTTTTTCATGTGCTGCAGGTTGAACGAGTTTCTCACCAAGACACGTTACAGAGTTTTGTTGTCAAGTTTGAGAACCTTGAGAAGCAGTGCGTGGCAGAGGCTATCAAGTCATACTGCGAGCTCCGTGTCCTACCATATGAACTGAAGAAGACTGTCGTGTTCTGAGCTCCCTTTATTTTCTGTCTTATACTCTTGTGGATTGGTGTGTTTGTGGTTTTTTTTCCTCACAGAACAAGTGATAGATGATTCACTTTTTAATATATCTCAACAATCGCTTCCTAGCTTTGTATGATCGTGCATAACTTACTCTTGGTTGATATCACGAGCATACTTGAGCTGTGGCAGCAGTTATTCATCGAATACTTGCTTGTTCGCGGCAGTTCACGGCAAGTACTTCTGCATCGTTTGAGATAAAATTAACTAATCATCAATTGAAAATAGAAACACAAAAAAAAGAAAAAAAACATTTAGTCCCGGTTGGTAATACCAACCGGGACTAAAGGGCCAGCCCATGTGGCCAGGCCGGGAGGCCTCTTTAGCCCCGGTTGGTATTACCAACCGGGACTAAAGATGAACCTTTAGTCCCGGGCGAGAAACCGGGACTAAAGGAGGGACTCTTTGGTCCCGGATTCGTGCTCCCGGTTGGAAAATCGGGACTGAAGGGGTTTTTCTGTACTAGTCAGTGCCACCTTGGTAAATAATGTTGCCATTTGAAAAGCCATTTGTACAGGCCTTCAACTCAGACCACCTGAACTTTCTTATGGCTTATATGCAGACCACATGATACAAAGTTAGTATCTTGTCTGTACAAATACGAACTTTGCAGGTTATTCTTTTCAAACGGAAGAAACGGGAAACATCAATATAACCCCCCAAAATTATATATAGGGGTCTACGAATAGCTAACCCTCCGAATGAGTATGTCCGGACATCAATTATTATGAAGAAACACATAAAACAGTATATATGTACCTATGCCGCTATGCCTACCAGATGCGATGTGCAATTGACACTTTAGCTTCTTAATTAACAATTATATTAATTATTAAAATACTCTAACAACAAATGCACAAGAACAATATGCACCTATGCAGTAGTTGTTAGGCTTGTTTGGATCCAGAGACTAAAGTTTAGTCCATGTCACATCGGACGTTTAGATGCTACTTAGGAGGACTAAGCATGAGTTAATTATAAAACTAATTACACATATAGAGACTAATTTGCGAGATGAATCTATTAAGTATAATAAATCCATCATTAGCACGTGTTTACTATAGCACCAAATTATCAAATCATGGATTAATTAGGTTTAATAGATTCATCTCGTAAATTAGTCTTTATCCATGCAATTAGTTTTATAATTAATCTATGTTTAATACTCCAAATTAGTGTTCAAACATCCGATGTGACAGGACTGCTGCACGTGGACTTGACCACTTCTATTCGACTATCTTATGCCCGACCGATAGCATCTTCCCCTCGACCTCCAGCGCCGCCCCCACGGCGGCTGGCCCAAGATCCGCCGCCGTAGCCCAATCTCCCTCCTTTCCACCGACCATGCCTGCTTCCCCGAGTTAGGACGACTCGCCCGGTGGCCCTCGCAGCAGTTAGGACCCCTCACCTTCATCTCACGCTAGACAAGGCAGGGCGGCGGTCGCGCCTGAGCTCCATAGTGGTGGGTTCACTCTGCATCCCGCTCACCGTGACGACCTCCCAGGTGCGCCCCAAAGCCGCCCAGCAACGCGTTTCCTTTGCTAGTGCCCCCACTGTCAGCCTACCCACACATAGATGCCATTACTCCCCTCCACCAGCCCG